TGGTATCTCCATTCCTGGGATTTTGATAGGGACAATAATTTAGCTTTATCTCTTTCATATGTGCTGTTTGTGCAATCAGGATTTTCTTGTTTCTTATTAAAATATTAGAAAAGATAGATTTAGAATTTAGGAATACAAAAAAATGAAACTTTAGAGTTTGAAAGCGCTTTATGTCTACTCCACACCATGTTTTGTTACAGAAACTAACGTAGTGTTGTAGGTAAAATATACTTCAAAGTCAAACAAACAAGCAAACAAACTCATAGAAAAAGAGAACAAACATGTGGTTACCAAGGGGTGGGGTGTTGGGAGGAGAGGGCATTAGATGAAGACAGTCAAAAGATACAAACTCACACTTATAAGATAAATTAGTACTATTGGTGTAACGTTTGTGCATGCGTGCTCAGTGGCTTCGGTCATTTCTGACTCTGTGACCCCATGGGCTGTAGTCTGCCAGGACCCTCTGTCCATGGGATTCCCCAGGAAAGAATACTGTAGTGGGTTGCCAAGACGGGGGAGCTTCCCGACCTGGGGATAGAACCCATGTCTCCTGCATCTCCTGCAGTGCAGGTGGATTCTTTACACACAGAGCCAATTAGGAAGTCCAAAAATTGTTTAACAGGCCCAAGAAAGATGACAAATATAATTAATACTGCTATATGTTATATGTAAAAACTGTAGCGAGTAAATTCTAAAAGTTCTGTCATCACATGAAAAACATTTGTTTCTATTTCTTTAATTTTGTATCTATAGAAGATGATGGATGTTCACTAAACTTATTATGATAATTGTTTCATGACATACTTAAGTCAAATCATTATGCAGTACACCTGAAATTTATATAGTGCTATATGTCAATTATATCTCAATAAAACTGGAAATACTAAATGAATTATATGTATTCTAACTTACCATTAATTACTAGACTCCAACAGGAAATATTTGCACCATCCTGTTCATTGCAACTTTGTAAAAAAATTTGCTGGTAATGATCATTTTCTCTTTCAGCCTAACTATTATACATTCTTCAACAGTTCTTCAGGATCTAAGATCTAGGGTGGTTTCTAGATCCTTCTCCATTGTGGCCATTGGCTGTGTTCCTCTGGGTGAATCCTGTTGTGTCAAAGTTATAGCTTCACATTTAGAAAACATTTGCAAAATAAGCTGAATGTGGACAGGCTTCCAGCCAGAGAAGAGCCCTGGCATCCCTAAGTGAAAGGCACACCCTTCCACTGGGAAGAGCAAGTGCAGACTACAGGTTCTGGCTGCAAACAAAGCAACTCCTCAAAAACAGGTACACGAGTGGAGGCGGGAGTTCCTGAGGGTGGTAAGACATCCTTACCACTACTCACCTCGCATGTCACAGTTTCAAGTTTAAATTTAGACCCTACTTTTTCTTCTATACTTTTTTATTTTGCATTAAGTGTACTCTGGCTCCCCTTGTGGCTCAGATGGTAAAGCATCTGCCTGCAATGCGGGAGACCTGGGTTTGATCTCTGCGTTGGGACGATCTGGAAAAGGAAATGGCAACCCACTCCAGTACCCTTGCCTGAAGAATCCCATGGACTGGGGAGCCTGGTAGGTTACAGTCCATGGGGCCCCAAAGAGTTGGACACAACTGAATGACTTCACTTTCTTTTACTAAGTGTACTAGGGAAGAACAAATGTGACTTCATATTGGATCTGCTTCTTTCACTTTAACCTTTGTATTCTAGTGCTTTTGCTATAAGTGAACCACTAAAGGGGTGTTACCTGTAACTTGAAGTATACATAGGGCTTCCCAGGTGGCTCAGTGGTGAAGAATCCACCTGCCAAACTGGACATGCAGGAGACTCAGGTTCAATCCTTGGATGGGGAAGATCCCCTGGAGAAGGAAGTGGCAACCCACTCCAGTATTCTTGCCTAGAAAATCCCATGGACAGAGGAGCCCGGTGGGCTGTAGTCCACAGGGTCACAAAGAATCGGACACACCAGAACATGCATGAATGCAAAGTATACATGACAGCCCACCTCTGGGAACCCTGGCTCCCATGTCTGAATGTTGGGCTAAAATGCCTTTGTTTAAGCTCACTGGAAACATCCTGACCAGGCCCACTTGTAAATGGCTGCAGGAAAGAAGAAATTAACAGTCCCCTTTGGATTATGGCCAAAATCAGAAAATACTTGAAAATTTTATCACCTTTTTAAATTTTACCTCCCGCTGCTGCTGCTGCTGCTAAGTCGCTTCAGTCATGTCCCACTCTGTGCGGCCCCATAGATGGCAGCCCACCAGGGTCTGCCATCCCTGGGATTCTCCAGGCAAGAACATTGGAGTAGGTTGCCATTTCCTTCTCCAATGCATGAAAGTGAAAAGTGAAAGTGAAGTCACTCAGTCATGTCCAACTCTTCACGACCACAGGGACTGCAGCCTACCAGGCTCCTCTGTTCATGGGATTTTCCAGGCAAGAATGCTGGAGTGGGTTGTCATTACCTTCTCCGTTACCTCCTGATACCTCCCCTACTTTGTTCTATAAAGTAAAGTAGCATCCAAACCTAGGCAACACAGTTCTCTAGTCCACCATCTTCTAATTCTGCTGGCTTTCCAAATAAAGTCACCATTCTTCCCCAAATGACTCATTTCTTGATTTATTGGCCTGTATTTATTTCTTATTTATTGGCTGCAGTAAGCAGCATGAGCTTGGTCTCAGCAATATAAAGAGGGGACAAATGGAATTCTAGTTGGGCAAGCTAGACTTCAACAGTACTTGAACCGAGAACTTCCAGATGTTCAAGTTGGATTTAGAAAAGGCAGAGAAACCAGAGAACAAATTGCCAACATCCATTGGATGAAAAAGCAAGAGAATACCAGAAAAACATTTACTTCTGCTTTATTGACTATGCTAAAGCCTTTGATTGTGTGGATGGCAACAAACTGTGGAAAATTCTCAAAGATGTGGAAATACCAGACCACCTTACCTGCCTCCTGAGAAATCTGTATGTAGGTCAAGAAGCAACAGTTAGAACCGGATGTGAAACAATAGATTGGTTCCAAATTGGGAAAGCAGTACATCAAGGCTATATATTTTCACCCTGCTTATTTAACTTATATGCAGAGTACATAATGCAAAATGCCAGACTGGATGAAGCACAAGCTGGAATCAAAACTGCAGGAAGAGAAATCAATACCCTCAGATATACAGATGACACCACCCTTATGGCAGAAAGTGAAGAGGAACTAAAGAGCCTCGTGATGAAAGTGAAAGAGGAGAGTGAAAAAATTGGCTTAAAACTCATCACTCAAAAAAGGAAGATCATGGCATCTGGTCCATCACTTCATGGTAAATAGATGATGAAACAATGGAAAGAGTGACAGACTTTATTTTGGGGGGCTACAAAATCACTGCAGATGGTGACTGCAGCCATGAAATTAAAAGACACTTGCTCCTTGGAAGAAAAGCTATGACCAACCTAGACAGCATATTAAAAAGCAGAGACATTACTTTGCCAACAAAGGTCCATCTAGTCAAAGCTATGGTTTTTCCAGTAGTCATGTATGGATGTGAGAGTTGGACTATAAAGAAAGCTGAGCACCGAAGAATTGATGCTTTTGAACTGTGGTGTTGGAGAAGACTCTTGAGAGTCCCTTGGACTGCAAGGAGATCCAACCAGTCCATCCTAAAGGAAATCAGTCCTGAATATTCATTGGAAGGACTGATGCTAAAGCTGAAACTTCAATACTTTGGCCATGTGATACGAAGAACAGACTCATTGGAAAAGACCCTATGCTGGGAAAGATTGAAGGCGGGAGCAGAAGGGAACGACAGAGGATGAGATGGTTGGGTTGCATCACCACCTCGATGGACATGAGTTTGAGCAGGCTCCAGGAGTTAGTGATGGACAGGGAAGCCTGGTGTGCTGCAGTCCATAGGGTCACAAGGAGTTGGACATGACTGAGCAGCTGAACTGAAATGATGTGGGCTTTAAATTCCTATGACCGGGAAATCCATTCTCTCTACCCAGTTCCAATCCAAATGTGTCCTTCGGGCTTCTAGATTTCTGGCCAGATGGTAACAATGTTGTTGCCGCACAACAGTGAGTGTAGAATCAAGAGCAGAAGAAATGTTCTCCAGTGCTGAGCACCTCTCATGCTCACTCTGTGTCCCAGGATTTATTGCTACTGTGAACTTTGATCATCTAATTCAGGCAAACTGGAGGATCCCAAGCAAGAGATCTTTCCTCAAAATGATGACATGTCATTAGAACCCAAAACTCTTTTCCCTCTATCATCCTGTCTCTCTTTTCAGTTAATTTACTTCATTCTTTTACCACAAATTACAAAACTGACATGAAGAAATGAATACTGCTAGTGCCCTAAAGCATCCAGGTCAGATAGAAAGCCCTTGAATTACACAACTGCCTTGAAAGTATTGGGGAAAGATAGCTGTGTGCACATTACATTTGACACAACTTCGGGGTGAAGCAAGCCATCATTTTATTTTTCGGATTCTGTAACCTAGCTTTTGCATCTACGTCTAAACTTTAAAGGATAAACAGCTTTTCAATCAATGGAACGAAGGCAATGAAAAGAATACTCATTGTCAGGGTCTTGAGTTTACATCTCCAGTTTGCCACCAGCTCAGAACTGTTCAGTTTAAAGCTGCATCAGGTCTCAGGGATAACCTGGTGCAATAAAATTTAGAACCCAAGAGGTCATGACAAAGTCAAATCAGAACTTGCCTATTAATCCCACACTTTTTTGCATGCACAGTACTTACTTCCTGTGTAACTGTGCCTTCTTTGTTTAATTGGGTCTCAGAACAAGGCCACAGATATTTGCTTATAGCATTTAATACAACTTCATCTTGAGATTCGAGGTAAATATCTCCTTTATTAAAGAAAAGGGGAGAGGAGGGACATAAATGATATCTTAAAAGCCTTCTACCAAGAGTACTGAGTGCCTAGCAAAAACAGATTTGAAGGACTTTAGAGAAATATGGATGACTTCTAACCAGCTGATAGGAAAAAGGGGTGATGTTGGAAATGCCTCATCAAAAGTTGATTTCACCCACTATTCTGAGCTAAACTATTCTGCATGAAAGATTCTGGCACTCAGACAACTCTTAGTAGTCACTTAAGGGAAGTGAGGGTGCGTGAAACCATTTCCCACATCTGCATGTCAAAATTCTGGCAGATCAATAGGGCAGAAGTAATCAAAGTTACAGCAGATGCTAATGAGGGTGGCAGAATCTCCAGTGGTTCAGATGATCCCAAACTGAGCGAGCTCGTGCAACTCCAAGTGGCTGAATGCCTCCCAAGGACAGATCACAGTGATATCTGCAAGAAAGAGAGAGAAGAACTGATAAGCCAATCTCACTCCCCAGAAGAGCCTCTTCTGCACAAAAGGACATCATTCAGGCAAAGACACCTCCCCCTTGTCTCCCATCTGTTGCCCAGATGACGGGGAAGAACGGCCCTTCATCACAGGAGGGATCAGAACAATTGTTTCATTAATCCTCTTCGGGGCTCTGATTCCACCCAAACAGGCTCCCCCAGGATCTGTGTTAGTTTTATTTGGCATCCTTTCTGGGGAGATGCTCCAAGATTTCGGACTGGGACTATTCTGTGGGAGTGTAGTTCTCTGATCATTTGAAGTCTCACCAAAACACTAAGGAGGGGACAGAGGTGGAATTCTAGTTAGGCCATGGGTTAAAGTGAGAAGTTATTGTTGTTTAGTCGCTAAGTTGTGTCTGAAACTCTCTGTGACCCCATGGACTGTAGCCCTCCATGCTCCCCTGTCCATAGGATTTCCCAGGCCAGAATACTGGAGTGGGTTGCCATTCCCTTCTCCAGTGGATCTTCCTGACCCAGGGGTTGAACCTGTATCTTGGGGCACTTTAAATTCGCATGGTGTGGAAATCTAGTTTCCCTACTACCTACCAAGCAGATAGGTTTCTCTAACTGCTCTCAAGCTCCTTTAGGTATTGTTAAGAATTATAATATTGTTCCCAAGTTACAGAGAAGCTGGCTAGTACCCAAAGAGGTTAAATACCTAGAGAAAAAAAAAATCTCATGGTTGTAGAGACTGAACTAGAACCAGGTCAAAGACTTCAGAGTTTCCTTCAGAATAAACCTCTTGTCACTATTCCAAATAGTTTGGCAGAGTCCAAAGTGAATTTTCTGGTCTTATATACACATGGTCAAAATAGAGAAGCATTTGATTTAGAAGAATAGCAGATGAGTTTTATCAAAGTGACTAGAAATTCTATTTGAGATCTGAGGAGTGGCAGTGGACAATAGAAAGTAAATAATAGGTATGCTTATGACTGATTGGCAGAAACCAACACAATATTGTAAAGCAATTATCCTCCAATTAAAAATAAATCTAAAAAAGTAAATGTACTGAGAGTCGTCCAGAAAGGAAACTGATTGCTACGAATGCCATCATTTGTCAAAAGTGTATTGGATGAGTTGAAAACTTGTGTCCACACACAAAACCTGCACAAAGAAGTTTATAATAGCTTTATTCATAATTACCAAAACCTGGAAGCAATCAAGATGCCTATCAACAGGATAAATAAACTGTGATACAACCATACAATAAAATATCTAGTAATAAAAAAGAGATGAGCTATCAAACCATGTCAAGATATGGAGGAAGTTTAGATAAATATTACTAAGTGAAAGAGCTCTTACTATATGATTTGAACTGTAGGACTATCTGGAAAAGGCAAAACTATAGAGCAGGAGGAGAATGGGGAGACAGAGGATGAGATGGTTGGATGGCATCACCAACTCAATGGACATGAATTTGAGCAAACTCTGGGAGAGAGTAAAGGACAGGGAAGCCTGGCGTGTAGCAGTCCATGGGGTCACAGAGAGTCGGACACGACTCAGTGACTGAACAACAACAATGATAGAGACAGTAGAAAGGTTAGTGGTTGTCAGGAGTTTATGGGGAGAAAGGATTGAACAGATAGCACACAGGAGATCTGGAGGGTTGGGATTCCATATGAACCTGTAATGGTGGATACCTAAGAACTGGACAACACAAAGAATGAACAAGCTATTTCAGCTAATAAAAATGTGTTAATGTTGGTTCATGAAGTATAACAAATGTACCACACTAAATGCAGGAGGTTAATAATAGGTGGTACGACTGATGTACGGGGGAAGAAGGTGGCAGAGGGGATCTGTAGGAATCCCTTAAAAATTCTGCCTAATTTTTCTGTAAACATAAAATTTCTTTAAAATTTAAAGTCTATTAATTTTTTAAAGAGAATATGAAGTAGTTTGCATGTATTATCCAACCAATAAAAATTTTAGCCAATTAAAATGTATTACTCCAGATACTTTAGTGTCTAGGGCCCTGTTCTGAGTGCCAGAGGATGTGTAAAAAAGAGGAAGCTTGTGAGGGAGTGGCTGGCCCGGTGGAGAGGAAAGGCTCTCCAGGCCCCACACTTGTTTCCAATAGCTCACTCTGTAGCCTCAGATTATCACTTAATTCCTCTATGTTTCCGATTTCTCTCCTGAAAAATAAAGGAGTTGGGCTAGACTCATTCTGAGAATTGTTCTACTGTGAATGTCTACAATTCACTATTGTATGCCTGAGAGAGAGAGAGAGAGTGTGTGTGTGTGTGTGTGTGTGTACACTCAGTTGTGTCTGACTCTTTTGTGACCCCATAGACTGTAGCCTGCTAGTCTCCCCTGTCCACGGGGTTCTCCAGGCAAGAATACTGGAGTGGATTGCCATTTCCTCCTCCAGGGGATCTTCCTGACCCAGGGATCAAATCCACGACCCATCCATCTCCTGCATTAGCAGGCAGATTCTTTACCACTGTGCCACCAAGGAAGCCCACACCTTCTAGAGTATATAACAAAACACAAGGATTCATTGAACTTTGGGACTAGCCTGATTTCTCTGAGTTTTTGCCTCTGGGCACACACATACTTATTTAGGAAGTTAAATTAAAACCCTACATTCCTAGGTCTTCAAAAAAAAATCTGCTGCGTTATGTATTTCCAATGACGTTGAACTGCTCCTCGAGGCCAGAAGCAGAAAAAATGGTCAAAATCCGGGGGTAAGATTCTCACTTAAATATTCAGATCGCTCACCTGTTCCTAGTCCCTCCATGCCTGGAATGTCGTCTCCAAACCTATGGAAAAAATACAAGAGAAGTTAGCTGATACTGGGGCCAAAAGATCCTGGAATGAGTCATGTGAAGAGTTTCCTGATTCAAGGGGAAAGAAGAGGTTTCAGATTTTGTATTTGAGAAAATCCTTTTGTGTGCACTGAACTAGGGCAAAGGAAGTGTCACTCAAACAGGTTTTAAACAATATGTCCCAAAAGAGAGAGTTTCCCTCTGTAAAAATGTAACCTAAGACAGTTGAGAGCCAGGGCGTCAAGCTCTACTTTTTAAACTAAAAATTGGAATGAGAAAGCAATATGAAAAGTCATTAAAATGATTAATTTATCCATTTGTTTAGTTTATCCAAAAGTACATATTAAGCATCTGCTTTGTTCCTGGAATTGTATTAGGTACTGAGAGTTAAGGAAAAAACAACACACAAATTTTCTCTTAGGGATCTGTCTCAGGGAACAGACGAAAGAAAGATATGTACTATAAAATAGTACAAGTTACAATAGCTGAATGTACAAAATGCAAACATGGAAGGAATGATAATGTTTGTCTAAGGGAGTCAGTAATGGTTTCCAAAAGAAATTAACATGAGTGTGTGTTGAAAAATAAATCAGATTTTGCCAGGGAGAAAAAGAGCAAAACAAAGAACTGAAGAGAGAAAATCTGAAGCCAGAAAAATAAACTGTGTGTTCTAGAAGCAGCCAGTGATTCTGTGTTCCAAATTAAAGCACAGTTTACATCAGCAAAGGAGAGTGGTCAAGAAGAGTCTGGAAGGTCAAGCCAAAGGTCACTGTGAAAGGGTCCATTTTCCATGTTAAATGTGGCTGTATATGTGGGAGCTGAGAGAGAAAGGATTCCAGGACTGAAAAAATATGATTCAGCAAAGATTGTGTTAGGAAACAGAGAGTGAGGTGGAAATTTTTATAAGTCTACTTAATATGGTGAGCATTAATCTCTCAGAAAAATAGGAAACCTTCTTTTTCATTTTGGTCTTACCCTTTCACACCTTTCTTAGGAGGCTTGCTCTTGAACTGACGAGACTGCCTCTGCTTGAACTTAGGGGGCCCTTTGCGTGGGGTGGTGGGACCCTGGTTTGAAGTCGGAGGAGCCAACGCAGTATTGTCGCTCATTCTGCTAGTGTTTGGGTGGCTGATGGTTTTCTTTCAGGCTGTTTGAACAGTGAGAGAGAGAGAGAGAGAGATTCTTCAACGTATGATGACCATTGCTTACTATGATGACCTTTACAACAATCTTTGGGGGCAGGGGGACGGGGAGAAAAGCATCTCGATAAAGAAGCTCGGCATTTTGTATTGACAGCAAAAGGGAGAAGTTACCATCTTTTAAAGAAGTTACCATCTAAGAAAATGAGGTATATGTCAATGGAGGCAGCCAGCAGAGTAGGCTATAAGCCAAAAACTGATAAATCTAGGTAGATTTGTTGTTCCAGTAAGTCTGCCAACAGCTTTCTGTGTGAATGTATAATAATTATGTCCTTTTCATTGACCACTAGTTCCACCATCTGTAACGGGAGAGAAATGTGCTAAAGACTATCTAGACTTGGCAACACTGAAATGTTCTGTAAGCTTTACATATTTTTCCACCTAACTATAAAGTAATCTGATTCTAAATGTTTACTGACCCATTCTTATGGCCCGTTTTCTTTATGGCCCGTATTTTATTTAATCCTCATGTGATCCAAAGACTTCTTTTCTAGTTATGGGAGGTGACAGTGTAGTTGTCTGGATAGGGGTAACTCTGAACCAAGTATACTGACACTACAAAAGCATTCAATACATTCCTGGTACACACACACACACACACACAGAAGACAATAAGAGGTGATTAAGTCATAAGTTTGTGCTTTAACTCCCCTACCAGATAAGAAATTCTTTAGCCACTTATTTCTCAGGAATCTTCAACTTTTCTCCTATCCAAATCAAGAACTTATCCAATATGGTTTTCCCAGACTTACCTTTTAGTTACAAAAAGATACATTGTCATTCTTCAAATACAAATAAAAGAACATAACAAATCACTGTTATTACATGTTACAGTAACATGTGATAACAAATCACTGTTATTACATGTTACAGTAACATGTGATAACAAATCACTGTTATTACATGTTACAGTAACATGTGATAACAAATTAATATGAAATGCTAAACTAAAAGATTTTTTTTCTTTTTCCTTTTCTATCACAAAAGTTGATAGTGCTTAATCTGGGAAGGGAGATTCTGAAAAAGCTCCAAAACCTTAAACTCCTACCTTGAGCCAACCTCTTCCATGGCCTACTGCCTGTTTTCATAGAATTGCATATTTCATCCATTATAAATGTATGCTAGTATCCTTAACTTCAGTTCTCCCTGACAATGCCAGGCTCATGAAACCATGTTTTCTCTCTCTCTCTGCTACAATAGTGAAAGTGAAAGTCACTCAGTCGTGTCCAACTACACAGTCCATGAAGTTCTCCAGGCCAGAATACTGGAGTGGGTAGCCTTTCCCTTCTCCAGGGGAACTTGCCAATCCAGGGATTGAAGCCAGGTCTCCTGCATTGCAGGCTGATTCTTTACCAGTTGAACCACGAGGGGAGCCCAATAGACATCCCTCAAATCTTGCTTCAGGAGAGGAGTGGGAGCCCTTGGCCTTGCCCCTCCATCAGGGTGGGGGCCTCAGCAGAGAGGGCCTGACTGCCCTCTTTGCATCTGAACAGATGGATGCTGTGCTGCCCTCTTCACACTTCCATTTGGTGGCAGTGCCAGCAGGTGGGCCATGGCCTCCAAGCCTCGGCCTTTCTGGCTGGCTGCTCCCCGCTCCCCGTCACCTCCGTGCTCATCCCTGCAAGTGTGGGTGCTGAGGCTGCCCTGGGGAGACCCTCCTCCTGTTCTTCAGGTCAGAGACCCTCCTGCCTGCCCCAGGCCGTGTCTGGCACCTGCTGTGGCTCAATGCATGCCCGCCGGCTCTCTTACACCCGCTCCTTCTCTGTCTCATCTTGCAGGTTTTGGGGTTTGAGGTTGCATCCCTCAAATCTTACATTGTAAAATTTATCAACTGTTTCTTATGACTCTCAAAATCATGTTAAAATATTAATAAATCCTTGCCTCTAAGATGTTTTTCCTATTTTCTTTTCCTCAATCACTATTTTCGTTCTCTCCTGCCAGTCTTCAACTTGTCTGATAGAAACACATTGATGACGCTGTGAGCTAGAACCAAGAAGAGAGTGAAGCTGGCCACATCCCTGGATCACCTGTGCATGCAGTGGATCTTGTCTTTTTTCTTTTTTTTAATATGTATATTTTCTGTTTTGGACCATTTTTTAAGTATTTATGGAGTTTGTTACAATATTGCTTTTTTTTTTTTTTTAAGTTTTGGCTTTTTGGCCATGAGGCAGGAAGGATTCTTAGCTCCCTGACCACGGATTAAACCCACACCTCTGCATTGGAGGGTGATATCTTGACCACTGGACTGCCAGGGAAGTCCCCCATGGATCTTGTCTTTATCCCTCACTGGAATATGCTCCATGAAGCTGTTGTTTTTTCAGTCTCTACTTATTCCTATACCCTTAGAACCTACAAGAGTACCTGGTACATAGTAGGTGCGCCATATATATTTGTCCAATGAGTGAATACATAAATGAAAAGACTGAACTAATGCCTTGAACCTTGGGTCTTGAGATCCCGACCCTGTGACCGTCTCCATCAAGTCACAGGGAAGGCATCAGCTGATCCTCACCTCGTAAACCCCTCGGTGGTTTTGGGAAATGTTCTGCCAGCTCCTCTGCCCACTGAATTCAGTTCTGTGCTGAGGGCTCTCTCCTGCCCTAGTAAACAGGCCAAGTCTGTGCCTCTCCCAAGTGTGTTTGGGACCAGGGGAATGACTGGAGGGCAGCCAAGGGCAGCATTACCCTCACCCTGTGCCACCAGTGACTGACACATCCCGACTCTGCCAAAGCCACAGAGGAAAACTGGAGAATTACTCTCAGATCAACCTCTCTGGACTTCCCGATTGTTTTTAAGTAATGAGAAAGTACAAACGTTTCTCCAATCTAGAGACCCTACTAAGTTTAGTTTTGCCAGATTTAGCAACTCAAGATACAAGACATCCAGTTAAGTTTGAACTTCAGATAAACAACTAATGATTTTTTTTTTTTTTTGGTATAAGTATATCCCAAATATTTCATGGATTTCATGGTACATACTTAGAAACTGTTATTGTTTATCTGAAATTCACATGTAACTGGGCATCTTCTATGATATCTGGCAACTGTAAGTGGGATCCTACTTTGTAAGACCCCAAATCTATAATGTGACTCGGTGGTAAAGAACCCACCTGCCAATAAAGAGGACGCAGGTTCAATCCCTGGGTCAGAAAGATCCCCTGGAGAAGGAAATGGCCATCCACTCCAGTATTCCTTCCCGAGAAATCCCATGGACAGAGGAGCCTGGTGGACTGTAGTCCATGGGGTCACTTAAGAGTCAGACAGGACTTATTAACTAAACAACAGCAAAGATCACTTTCATCAGCCAAATCACCTTCTGGGGGCAAAACAGTGTAAAGAGTAGATGCTTTCAGATCAAATAGAAACAATTTCAAATTCCTACTCCACCAGACTGTTTAATATGAACTTGGATAAGCTGCATCACCTCTCTGGATCTCATTCTATCTATAAAATGAATCAAATTTTTTTTTCTTTTTAGGGTAATGGGGAAAATAAGAGGGAACAATGTACAGCTTTTGGTGAAAAGTACTCAAAACGAAATAACTATGTAGTAGATCTTCTGACAGTCAAGGGAACCCTGAAAGCAAACTTATGGTTGCAGCGCAGGTTCACCTGAATCCACACCCATCCCCTAGGACCATGGATTGACAAGTGCTTGACAAGTACCAGAGAGGTAATTACTATCTTCACTTCCTGGGTAATCCTCTGCATCATTCAAACCCTCCAACTATTCCCCATTTCTGGTTTCAAAATTCCCTCTTAAGAAGCCGTCCTAGGATTCCTTTGATACCTCTAACAGTAACCCCAAAGAATTTGAAATTGACACTTGATTTCTATGTCCCCCTGATTATACTTCCTCTTTTCTCTGGCGAGTTTCTTTTGCATGTTTATCTCATTCTGAAGTTACAACTCTAGGCTGGGACTGAGTTCATGTCTAATTCTAAGTGCAATGCATTCTGTAAAAGAATTCTCAGAAAGTTATGTAACAGTTGCCTGGCTAATCCCTGGATCCTCATGGCACTCAAGATTTGCCCTATGAATAACTGTTTTTACATTTATTGTGCATTTCAGGTACAGTATTTCATTTCTGAGTGTGTAAGACAGTCCACCAATCACTAGGGTGTTTCTGGCATAGACTTACCCCCCAATTTTCCCTGTAAAACTCTTGGGAGGAGCAGAACAAATATGACCCTGTCCTGCCTTGGAAGTCAGTCCTGTCAGCCCCAGGTATCACCGATGGCTGAACTTATCCTGACCATGTTTTCCTAGGAACTCCAAGGGCCTCCATTGAGCTGAATAAACCTGAATCCAGTATCAGACATGATTTTAGCTCCAAGCGGACGTTTCACATTTTTGCCTCCAAAAGGGTCAAGTAATTCATTCCTTTGGGAGGCGGAATGTTTTCCTGTTTTTTAAACAATGTTAGCCCTTCCCCTTTTGAAGATTACAAAGTGTTCTCCTGAATAAAGAAGTGGGTGCAGCAATGTAAGATTTCAAGGCATAGTTTTGCAGGGCACTGAGCTTGGCATTGCCTTAGTCCCAAGACAGCAGAGCTCAGTTGTAGGAAGCAAGAGGGTGATGCTCCATAAATTCCAACTAAATAAGGGCAGTTTCTGAAGATTCGTGAGTCAGGCTTTCAGATGCTGTGATTATCATCCTAGACTTCTTCTCCCTCTTTCTTAGCAAAGACATGAGCAGATAACCAATTCTGTTGTTGATGGCCAAGGATGGGGAGAAGACAGGTAGAGGACCCGTCTCCTCCTCTGATGCCATCGGACCCACAGATGTCACCTAGGGTCCCGCTGAGGCAGAGAAAATCAAATAATTCAGAGTCAAAACCCAAACCAAAGCCATGAAAAAACAAAAACAAAAATCCAGCAAGTATGTTGCTTCATCTAGGAACAAACAGAC